GAATATCCCGTCTACGTCACATGGCGTAATTCGGAGAATGCTAAACGGACAGTCTCTATTTGTGCTGAGATTTCCTCATCGATCAACTCGCTTGGACTGATAGAACTTCCTAAAGAAGTAGGTAAATTGGTCAACATGCCCTACCAATTCACTCCTGCGAATCTCTAAGACAGCTGGAAGTCAATTGAGCCCGCCCCTCTTGAATCATCTTCATTTGAGAGGAGCGAATCCTATGCCAAACATTCTAAGATTGCTGATCATAGCATTCAAAAGACTGGATGTTCTCAGCGTCTTCTCATAGGAGCAGGATTATGTCATTAGCATAATCCAAGTAAACGAGATTATCCCCTGATAACTAATCAACCTGTGAGTCACTGAAGTCAGTTAAGGTCAATGCCTTCCTTAGTACATCTATCATTAAATCAAACAGAAATGATGAGAACAGTAGTGAGCATCCTTGACAGACATCACTCTCTCTGTCATCGTCACTTCAGATAACAACTCTCCGTAGGCTCTTACTTGGCTGCATGAGTTGTAACTTTTTATTTCTTCACGTTCCCAGTGGAACATAGGTCTTCAAGCTAGTGGCTTGAAGTTTCTGTAGAAGTGTTTAATTTGTACAGGATGGGGTTGTTAGCCTCATGCCCAACTTTTCCTCTTTACCAGCTCTATTTCTGACATATCGAGGAGTTCGCCGGCCGGGGATCGAACACTGGACCATGTGCATGGTCGGCGAGCGTCCTAACTGCTATACCACCGACGCATGAGTTGTAATAGGATACCTTAATCAGTGTGATATATTTTCTTGGTATTCACTTCAAACATTATATAATTTATTTGTTACTGCTATAAACGCTAATGAAGAAAGCAAGGAAAATTGCATTAAACTACATACTAGTGATGGACTGAGATGAGTTTATACCAGTCACTCACTGACCCACATATCTGCGAATAATGCTTACTTGCTAGCCAAACAGATGGAAGTGACCTAACCAAATACTTATAAAAGGTCGTTTCCCCAATTTGGAACCGTCCCCATCAGTCACCCAGGTACTTGGTGTTTGACTCAGATAAGAGAGCCTAATCAGTGTTCAAACCACTCGATGTCTGACTAGTTAGTCACCTACTTGGTCTAAGTTTGTATGCTTTTGGAAGTATGTGGGAAGTTGTTACTTCCCGATTGCCCACACCATCGTGGAAGTTGATTGACTCTTCGGGTACCTGAAACAGAAAGTTCGTGTTGCATGACCGTAAAGCCCAAGGAACAACTGCTTAAGGCCGGTCACACATGGCCTGTATGAACTGGTTTCTTGGATTGATTCCGTATAAGTAAATTTACAACCGGCCACGCCATATGTTAAGTCAGGATGTGCAATTTTTGGGATCTACCTTTTCTAACTCCTTCTCTCCAGAGTGGAGAGACAGCTTAGCTGGCATGTTGGTCATCTGAATTAAAAACCTTACTGCGATTACATCCCTGTTACCCAGCAGTAACACTTTGCCAACGTCATTTTGCTAAATAGTCCCAATATATATATATATATATATTGCGTTCACTTCCCCGATGGCACTCCCTTAAGTTTCGTCATAATATTTACTAACCAAGAAACAATGACACAGTAAGCATACTATAGTTGTTCATACGACTTTTTTTTGGTGAAATCTTCATAATACAGAGTTCAAAAATCCCAGTCTTTGAGAAGTTGTGACCTGGTATTCCGACAATCACTAGACATGAATGATAGGTTGAATACGAACGTCTGGCGTTTATTACAGGACTGATTTGCCGATACACTGACATAGTACCAAGAGGAGCTGGAAGGCCCTGATTGGTTTCAAAACTAATGTGTTCATGAGCTCCAGAATCTGAAGCGATATAATAGCGTAAAAAACCAGTTTTCGTCATCTGGAAACATGAAGGCGCTGCAGTGGGTCGGATTTTGAGTCATTACACAGCGAGGCGGTAGTTCTTTGGAATCACCATCAGAAAATCTTTGGAAATATCATCTGCGGCCAAACTTTCACCTACAGGCAAACAGAGTTCGCAACAAAAGTCAATCGAAGACCTTTAACATTTATCAAGACAAGGATACACTGAATATCGAGCATACCTATATATGTTCAGAATACTTCACACTGTCATCAGCAACACTTCCACCTTCTATAATTCAACAAGATTCCAACTGCAAGAATTCGAAATCCACCCCCCGGAGATTACATCAGAAATGACATTAGGTATAGCATTACTCTCTCTCTGTCTCCAGAAAACAGCACTACAGTAATCAGATATAGGTCCAACAATAAGACGCCATCATTCTTTATATAATTTCACTCATTCATTCATATTTATTGAAATAGGAAAACACGGTACACAACTAAAAAGTAGCAGAAGAATCGCACGTATATATATATATATATATATGTATATATACGCCACTTAACATCGCTTCACGATGAATGACGTATCTCAACCTACTGTAGGCATATCAAATCAACCGAATCCTCCTTCCTTCCCTAGCCTTTTTATAGCAAAACACGTAGCTACAGAAGTGCTGATCTCCCCTCCCCGTCTCTCCATATCTCCTTCTAATGACCATCTTTCGAGGCACACATTTAAAACGGATGCACAGCACAAGGCATAAATGGATATCACACTGGTGCGAATTGACAAAAAAAAATTTCAAAACAGCTTCTCAAGATTTCCTCAGCCATCCCTCCCTCCCACAGGCAAATGACATGGCCCCCACCGAGATGGCTAGTCACCTTACATATGCAACGTCAAAAGATATACGTGCTCGTCACAAGACCACATTCTGTCCGGAAACACCTACACATATTTTACAGCTCAAGAATGTCAGTCACTGAGAAGTGTAAATGGTGCCTTTCCACTTCTAAAATCAGACTAGCTCTATTCACGCAGTCCAATGAGGTCAAATCTGCTTTGCAAATCAAAATTATTCAGACCATATAAAATAAATGATCTGTTTGTGATACCACCATAAGTGATTATGAAGCAAGCATATTTGCGTAAAACTATATACTACTGATTGATTGCGATGAGTAGGTATATACAACTCACCTATCAACCTGTAGTGCTTCTTCTTGGACAACTAGATCGAAGCTGTCTAACTAGACACTGTCGGACAACCGTTTTTTTTGGTCGTTTGGGGACAACCTAATCATAGTCAACGGTGCAGCTGGTATTTGACTCAACTCAGTAGGGCAGCCGAATCAGTGTTTATTAAACCGTTCGATTTCTGGTTGGTAACCCAGGTATTTTAGCCGACTAGTAAGTGGTGACGAATTAAATATAAGATCAAAATAAGAAATCACCATTCTTTAAACAATTTCATTCATTTATTTATATAATAATATTTCATATATTAATAATATTCATTGCAATGCAATAATAAGAATAATACCAACTGAGAAACTGGAAAAAACGACTTGCCAAACAAAAAAAAAAACAGGAGAAGAAGAGGTGTATACATGTACAGAGAGAAAGAAGCTTTATGCATATTATATCATATATATATATATACATATTTAATTTTAAAAAAACTGTGGTGCTCAAGTGGGAACAGAAATCCAACCACACACGATGTGTCTCATTTTAAAAAAGGAAATTTCGAAGAGTAACAAAGAAGCAGAAGTATGAACATTGATGTTGTCATTACTGACACTATTACTATTATTAACATCATCGTCAGGGAGAGAGAGAGAGAGAGATAGAGGAAGAACCAGGCGCGGTGACCGGCAGACGAGGCTACCAGACGCAACACACTCCAACGCAGACACACACACACACACACACACTCACAAACAGAAATAACACATTAATGGGGAGAATAAAGAACCTATTTGTCATTACGCAACAAAAAAGGGAGAGAAAGTGAAAACAACACAGAGAGAATTAAACGTCCGCACGTCCTCTCCAGCAGAATTCCGGATGATGTATGCTGACGTGGTCAAACAACTGAATGAAGTAAGGAAATAAGGAAAAAACGAAGACACAAGACTCAACTATCAGAAGGATCACTGATTTGTACAATCGTTGGACGGATAGTTCGATTGACGGTGAGAGAGATGGTGGAAGTATCTGTGTTCCTCTCTCCTTTCCATTTCTCTCTCTCTCTGTCTAGGCGACAATTTCTGTTTCATCAAAGTTATATGTCATAAAATGAAAGCACACATATGCTATGTGATGAATTGATCCATATTTTCAGTGAGTGCATCTAAAATGAGATCACGAGTGAACAGATTGACACAAACAAAAAAAGAGAAAAACGGAAAGAGAAAACGACAATAAAACACACACGACACAAACACAACAAACATATAAAGAAATCACTACATAATTATCTACAGTAGTAATAACACGTACATAGTTCTATGAATTGGTTGCTTAGGCCCTTCAATAAATGAATGAATCTCTTAGGAGGATTAGAAAAAAAACTGAAGGCGTCAAATGGAGGGGGAAAGGGGAAAGGCATTGACGGATGCCGACGAAGTGAAGAAATTAAATGAAAATTTTGAAGCAGAAACCTGGAAATTACATCACAATAGTATAAGTAGTAGGAATAATAATAATAATAATAATAATCTAGTGTATTCAATATCGGATCACATCACTCAAACACAAATCCAAGAAGAGGCGGAAGAACGCCTCTCTCTCTTTCCAAAATCCAAACAAAAGACGAAAAATTTACAATTCTGTCTGTACAAATATTAGTAAGAGTAGTAATGGTGATTGTTATTACTGTTCTATATCATATGAATATAATTTTTTTTTAAACGGAGACCAGTCACACACACACACACGACGCTGGTGTCTACATTCCACTAAAAAAAAACGCTTCTATAGCCTCTCTTTTACAATCAAAGAGACATATTTTAAAACGATAATAATAATAACAATAATAACAATAATACAGGGGATCGGAACATTCCATGCGGAGTGAAAGCACGCGCATGTTTGATGCGAAAAAGTAGAGAAAGATAATAATAATAATAATAATAATAACCATAATTACCAAAAAAACAACGGTATCAACAAGCGATCTTTAGAATTACCGCTGCGGCTACTACTACTACTACTAGTACTCACCTGCATCCTGAGCCACGCCAACAGACTTTACTAATTAAAGTCATAATAATATTAGTAACAGTCATAGTGGAAAGGATATTTGGATAAAAAAAAAAATCTATGCATCCCACCGTTACAATAACCATGAGTAATAAATAGATGGATACCGAGAAGGCATGGCGGTATTGTCTTTGCACTGTATTTCATCCTCCTCATGGCAATGTTCGTTCTCTCCTCTCTGTTGCCCTTCAATCTCTCTCTCTCTCTCTCTCTCCCTCATTCATCGACAGTTAAATCCATAAGGTATCGACAAAAATATATCTGCATTGAGTATACATAATATATATATATATATATGTTAAGTGAATGTATCTGTGTGTAGTGTACAAGAGAGTAGTTAAAAGCGATAGAAGGTTAAGGACTGATTGCCATCTCAATTATATCTAGTAACACAAAAACACAAAAAGGTAAATTGAGTAAAAGACACAGGGGAAAAAAAGTTGTACTCATACAACTACAATATTCAAATACAATGAAAGCTATTATATGACTAAATAACTAAACTAACTAACTAACTAACGAAATCAATAAACTTCATGAACTCTCTTACAAATTGCTGCGCCTGGGCAGCGCGATGATTCGAAACGTTCATGAAGCCAGCGCTCATCCTCCCGTAGGAGATAGCCAAAGTAAAGTAAAGTAAAAGTAAGTAAGTAATAAACAAAAGGGATAAACTGTGAACAATTTAAAAAAAAAAAAAAGCGGGAAGAGAACCAATTTTGTTTCTGCCAACTTTTTATATTATTATTATTATTATAATTAATATTATTTTGAATAATATTATTATATTATCATCATTATTTGTTTTAAAAATGGAACAGAAAGTGGATAATCTCAACATGTTTATCTATGCGCATCTATGAGTTATATGTACAAAGAGAAGTATTGGTAAAAAGTGCTGGGAAAACAGTAAAAGAATGTAACAACAAAAGGGATCAATCATCGTTATTCTTGGATATCGAAATTAAAGACGAGGTTGTGAGATGCAGGGGGTAGGGAAGGGGGAATTAACACAGGAAATAAACGGGGGGAAAGAAAAATATCAATCACAGGCAACAAAAAAAAACAATGTCAACGTTATATAACGCATATTATCATTATTATTATTTAGAGATAGCAATAAATTATACATCACATCTATACGTTCCTCAGGATTAACTTCCTCCCCCCCCCCCAACCTTTCGACTACTCATCATTTTGGGAAAGAAATAAAATCAAAACGGAAAACAGAACAAAAAAATTGGCTAGATAAAGTGACAATAATGAAAGTAGGGAGGGGGGAGGGAGGGGGGAATACAAGTATGAGGGTTCGGGGAATCGGCAGGTCAATGGAGCTCCTTGACTAACTGACTGGCTGCCTCTGTATGCGTCCATTTCAAATCCAGCGCATGAACATTACTTCAGGGATAAATTCCAGTAATGAAATCACAAACAAACAAACAAACAAATGAATGAATGAATGAATCAATCAACCAAGCCACACGAAAGGAACGTGTCATACAATACTGGAACATTACTTGAGTGGAAATAAAACGACATAGTTACTTAAAATAACAATAATAATTCAGTATATATAGATATATTGACCTTCGATTAGATCGGATATTGGATCACAAAAACAGACAAATGAAAATATTGTGTCGTAGATACTTCACTGTATAAGGATTTTAGATAAACAGATAGGTATTGTATATTTATAGAGAGGAATAAGGTTTTACGAACAAAATTATTCTTAAAAAGAACCAAACAGGAATCAGAATTTGATTTTTTTTTTCTGCTATGAATAATAATAACTCGCAAACAGTAAATATATACTACTCATATTATCATTGCTAATATTAATATTGATTCGTATGTATGTGTATGTGTGTGTGTGTGTAGGAGAGGCGTAAAAATCAATAACGAAGTCGTCGACCAGTGGGACAACTGACTGACTGTCGGGCGCGCATAAAAAATACCTGTCCAAACCGTTCGAAGGAACACATCTCTCGTCTACACCGGCCCTTCGCCGCCGCCGCCCCCCCCCCCGCCCAAAAAACCGCCGTCCATCATGATCACAAAAAAAGACATCACAATGTGTATCATCGAACGAGCGCATGAAAGCTAGCAAGCAAGCAAGCAAGCAAGCGAAAGTGCAGAGCAAAAAGGAGAGACAATCGGTAAATGATGCATCAGAACGCACACGCGTATACATTTAAATATATATATACACTTGTAGTAGAAGAGGAAGACTAACTAAGCGGTGCTCAAACAGTCCAGACGTATACAGACACGTACAGACACATACACAGAGAGGTCAAGAGATAACAATACCCTCACACACACATTCCACTTGATCCGACATAAAGACAACACTTTTAGCAGGGGGGGGTTTAAACGAATATTCTGTATATATATAATATATATTCCTCCTCATATGGCACACACACACACACACACACACACAACACAAATGTAATAATAAGTAAAAGCTGCCACAAAAAAAACTTTAAATGGTGAGAGCAAATTTTGGAAAAGACTTAAAATTAGCGCAAAGAACCCAAAAATAACAATAAATATTAAGTAACAACAGTGGTTAAAAGACTAGAAAAGTTGGAACTTCTCTCTCTTGGCCTTATTGTAGAAGGGCGAGGAGGCGGATGAAGCTTAGATTACTAAATTTGGAGGAGGATGCGTGTGTGACGGCTAACTTCTCATTTGTTGCTGTTGTTGTTGTGATTCCGTTCGACGTCGGCAATCTCTATTATGTTGTGCTGTCCAATGTTCCAACTGACATGTCTCTGAGCAGTAGGCTGTACCAGGACAACAATGATAAAATGCTTCATTCAAGCAGACTTGACACCATGTCCTTTGTTTTATGCGTTTAATTTCCGCTTCATGAGAACGACGTAGTTCAGAGATGAGTATATCACGTCGGTGTACCTCTTCACGAGCTTGATCACGTTCTGTTGTCAGTGCGATTAACCGATCAGCATAGATACGGTGGATACGCTCCTGTTAAAGAAAAATAAACGGAAATTGTAGAACGACATTTCCAATTATCAGTCAATTAACAATACAGATTCTGTCGAAGCAACCCGATTATGCCTGTGTGTGTTCAAAAAGAAATGGCAGTTATGTATATAGTCTTTCTTCGACCTTCCCCACATTTGGTAACTCGATGTCTTCACCCCCTCTCACTCTCTCTCTCTCTCTGCGTGTCTTTTATTTGGTTACATAAACTTGACTGACGATAGGATTCAGTCTGTAACAGCACAAAAAGGACTAGACGTACGGCACTAGTCATTTACTACCTAGTGTCAAAATCATTAAAGTATTCAACACAAACAGCCCCACAACACCAGTCCGAATAGCTCAGTGGTAACGCGCGTTTGGCTGCTTGTAGCACTGGGTAACAAAGGCTCCAATCTCAGAAAGAGAGGCATGAATTCTCTTAAGGTGTTCGCAGACAAGCCTTGCTGACTGCCTGGTGTGAGTGACAACGAGCACAAAATCTAGGAGATCAAGCAGAACTTCTTGACGAATTGCCTCTGATCATCTGGTTACGTAATTATTGGCTTCAACCGCCTCCTTCAACTCCTTATTTTCATATAATCTAACTTTGTCTGTCGTTTATTTCTATGATTTGAGTTGAATCGAAATCACTACAAGTTACTTATAGTCCCCGCCTCTTGTCTTTATTGCATAACTTCTTTGAAATGAGTCCAAGCACTTATATTTTGTTTCAACTCGAACCTTCTGTGTATAAATGTCATATCTGAGCACTGTTTATTACGTTTGGAGTCTTTTCTGTCATTAACTGACAGTCGTCCAACAGAGACTCATCGGCTGGAATACTTAGAAACTTGTTTGTGCCAGGTCCTTTGAAGAAAACCCTTCTTAGCAGTGGAACTTAAACTCACTATGTCCATAAAACTGATAATTCGTATGAAAGTGAAGGATAAACTACAACTTCTGACCCCAACATCAATTTCTATTAAATTATTTTTCCTGAAATTAGAGCATTTTATCAAAAATAATTGGTGGCCACAGTTAGCGTGAAATCATCCTATGTTTTGTATAACGCGAAACCTGAACTTGTAATATATTCACAGGAAGGTTCATCAGCTCTGAAGGACTGACTAATTGATGGGAATATCTAGCTAAAGTTACAAAAGTCAAGTGTGGCATTCACTTATCTACATCATCCTTGGTGTTCATAACATGTGACCCCAGATAAGTTGTCCTGTTTATCAATGCCTTCACACGTGAGCGGAAAGGATGAATGCGAAAGTCTGGCGTTTACATAAATGGACTGACGGAAAACATACGGGTTTTCAACCAATCTAAGGGAGCTGGAAAATCCTGATTGATTCCACCACCTATGGTGTATGTACATACACTGGCTCCAGAATCCAAACGCAGGACTGAATGGAGAGTAGTCCTTACCTTGGTCACCGAAAACCATGGCGACGTAGCAGCAGCTCCTCACGGTGCCATACTGTACTGCCATGTGAATTAGACTAGGGAGTGGAGATAGTGGAAATGTCCACTAATACAACCACCATCATTTGCTTCCACCGTCTGGGCACCCAAGCAGTAAGCACCCTAGCCCCTGCACAAACTATGAGGCAACTTTGCGTGGCGAATCTCTTGATGTCCGCAATGTACCAAGTTTGCGATTTACCAATAACATCTTTCAGGCAGATGACCTCAGATGACCACAGCCTGCCAACCGACAATGTTGCCTTTCTACTCTGGAAAGGTACTGAAGGTTGGAAGAAGGTCAAGAAGGATGAACTATGTGCAGTCACACAGCACGAATTCTCTTTCTTTTTTCAAGTATCCGCTCGCAAGACAGAATCAACTTCTACGGTGTATGGGCGGTAGGGAAGTCACAATCGCCTACTCACTTTTAGAAGCACTTTATCTATATCACCATTATCCAACTTTTCTTCTACTATTCGTACTATTGCACATGGAGAACGCCCGTAAGTTACAAGAGAGATGAATTCATTTTTCCCATTCAGAGCCACTGTGATAGAAACTAACCAAACCCATCACCGAAATGGTGGAGGCGAGGTCTTCAGTAGCCAGTGCTGTTGGAGAGTCCTTCCTCCTAGTGATGGAGGTTTTCAATGGCCCCTATTCAATTCACAGTTGCATGGCAGTAAATCTTGAAAATAAAAGTTTATACAAGAGAGAAAAAACACAAGAAAAATCAAGTGTATATCCTTCTTTGCACTGAAACTTAGACGACATATAAAGCTGATGATTCGTACGAAATTGACAGATAAACTACAACTGCTGCTTCCACTGTTTTATGAATGCGACACTATTCTACTTTTTATGATAGGAAACCTGAACCTGTTATATATTTGGGAAGTTTCTCTAACCCTAACACACTGACTGATCCCTGAAAAAATCCCAATACGAACACGATAATAGGCTCGTGGGACATTTGACAACTTACGTTGTCTTTGGTGTAGGCATCATATAAGACTATAGACCCTAGATTCTGGAGTCTTAACTCTCGCGTTAAATAGCGCAATATGCTGAGTACTACTTAGATGAATTGTGGTTAATATAAAACTTGTCTTCAGTCCATGAAATATTTCACTATTAGTTTGAACCAGCCACGTAGAGGCGAGACTGCTTGGTTGAGATTTTCGTAATCCTCAGAACCAAATGACGCCTGGGGACCATTAATGACACGGGTCACAGTCGTCATTATCAATGACGCAGATGCATACACTCTTTGTGTGATGTGCCGTATCCACTAAACTCTCTTTTTTTTGATATGACTATTCTTTCTCCTCCATATTTCTGCAGTTCTGAATTCCTTTTTTCTTTTCTTTCTCTACCTTCGCGTTTCACATGAAGTTTGTTTACTATTCAATCATTGTAATGGAAACCAACCAACCAACCCCTCCAAGTGACGAGGTGACGGACATGTACTGATGCTACAGAGTCCCGTCAGTTATGGGTTTTTAATGACCCTCTCTCTCTCTCTCTAACAACTGTGATATCATCACATCAGTTTCATGATCAATCTTGAAAATAAAAGTCTTTACCAGAGAGAAAAGAAACAGAAACAAATCAAGACCACACACGCATGCACACAAACACACACTTACCTCTGTTTTCATCATTATATTACTGCTGATACCACTATTACTATCAGTTTGTAAATGAATCAATGATCCTCCAGTAGCACCATTTCCACTCCCCGACGAGAAAGATGCACTTCCACCCCCAAGCATATTCGCCACATCACCACCAGGTGAGGCATCAACCGATTTTGGATCACTTAAACTCGATCCCAATCCAGAGGTGGATGATAACGCCGCTGGCGACACGGAGGAATAACACGATGAAGCAGCTGAAGAATTTGAAGACGATGGTAAAGGTGGAGTTGGTCCAACCGAGGTGTTAGGAGCACCACCAGCAACAGTATTCATGGTAGGATGATGATGATGATAATAACCGATAAGTCCTCCCATCGCAGACGGTAACTGATCATTCATAGAAGACAAGAGTTTTATGTTGCCACCACTGCCAGTTGACCAACTTGACGGATGAGTTAATTTCGTGTTCAGCTTTGAATGATTATGATTATTCATCAAATTGTCATGATGATACGTTTTCACAGATGAATTCGGTGCCGATGTACTATTACTACTACTACTACTATTACTATTACTAATCACAGATCGATTATTGTTCAGTGTATGCATTCCGTCAATAGAATGACGTAGAGTTGGATTTAGCTTTAAAAAACAAACAGTAGAAGGCAAGAAATTAAGAAACATGATAAAAAACGATTAGGAGAAATGAGTATAACATATTTGAAAATTATTATTATTATTCTCTTGGGTTTCGAGTGAAATATAGGGCTTCTCACAACCGGGACAAATCTCTTTCCTGTCCTGTTCCTTGCAGTCCTCTTTAACTGGCTGGCTTCCTCTACGACTGCCTTTAGACTTTCACTTCCCCCCCCCCTCCACCACCAACTAGCCGTCTTCCATTCGGGTTCCATTCAGCCTGCCTGACGCGTGTTGTCACTCAACGGTTTCCTTAGTGTTTATTCTATCCAACTACCTCTGTTCTCGTCGACATCTCTGTTGGTTCGTCTACTTACTTACTTTACTTTACTTCGGCTATCTCCTACGGGAGGATGAGCCGGCTTCATGAACGTCTCGAATCATCGCTGCCCAAGCGCGGCGATCTGAAGCAAGGTTTTGCGATAGGGATATCCAATTCTTGTTCCACATACGGAGTCCGTAGACCGTTTGTAGCCCCAGGCACTCCATATCTGCCTTGACTGTACCAAGCCATGTCTTCAGCTGTCCGCCTCTGCGACATCGCCAAGATGGTAATGGCGGGGGATTTAGAACTGATTTGACCAGATCGTCATCTGGTCGGCGCAGAACATGGCCAAACCACCGAAGGCGGCGTTGTTGGACCAGTACTGGAATTTGGTTGATGTTGTAGCAACGCCGACGCACTTCTTCGTTGGAGAGTTTGTCCTGCCAACGAACATGCAGAATGCACCTGAGACACCAATGGTCTAATACCTCGAGTCTGCGTAAATCTTCCGCGCGAAGAGGCCAGGTTTCACAGCCATACAGCAGAACGGGTCGTATGGAGGCTTGGTAGATCCGAATTTTAGTCCTGAGACTGATTTCTCTCTTGCTCCATAGAACGCTCCTCAGCTGTAGAAACGCATTCCGGGCGTTGGAGATTCGCGCATTCACTTCGTTTGTCTACCTAGTTCCTTGTCTCTTGTATGGAGCCTGCAAAGTTAACTATTGGATAAAGTCTTCAGCTGCCTGTTAGAAATTCTTTTGATGGCACACGCATGTCAAGTCACTGACTCATTTAAAAGTACTCACTAACTTCACGTTGGTGTTGAACAGAATCCGAATTTTCTTCTTTATGCTGTGGAGTGCGCGCTGCAAGTAGATTTCTGAGCTGATTTCAGAATGATGAAGGTCTACCTTGTCTATCTGACGATGGATGGCGAGGGGAAACAAACCAATCGCTACATAAACTTCAAAGCACATACAAAATACATGAAAAATAAACTTATTCATTGCTGAAATTCAGCAGAAATGTAATGCCATGGGTAGGTGAAAGCCTTCGGGAAGCCAGGTGGTCAGCCAGAGCCAAGATTCTAGAACATAGGCATTCCTACCGGCGTCCATCAGTCATTATATTTCTTGACCTAAAGGCAGCATTCGACTCTGTCGATCGGGAAGTTCTCTGGAGATGCTTGGCTGTAAAGGGAATTCCAAGAAAATATATTGCACTGATTAAGGCACTCTATTCGTACTCATACAGCCAGGTGAGGGCTTACGGCGAGCTGTCATCTGAACTGATGACGACCAGTGGTGTCCGTCAAGGATGCCCATTATCTCCTTTTCTATTCAACTTCATCATAGATGTGTTAATGGACTTAACCCTAGGTGACTTCAGTGACTCAGGAATTAACTTGCTACCGGGGAATAATCTCGTTGACTTGGAATATGCAGACGATATAGTCCTTCTAGGCGAAGACGCTGACGAAATGCAGAGTCTTCTAAACACCTTGAGCCGCAACCTACGAATGTTTGGCATGCGATTCGCTCCCGCCAAATGCAAGATGATGTTACAGGACTGGACTACATCGACGCCTAGTTTAAAAATAGGAAGTGAAGTGGTAGAGCACGTTGACCGCTTCACTTATTTGGGAAGTACCATCAGCCAGTGCCAACGGGTTGATCTCTGACGAAATCTCAGCACGAATACAGGGGGCTCGTTTCGCATTTGTTAGTTTACGCCGACTCTGGCGTAGACGAGATGTTCGACTATCGACCAAAGGGCGGGTGTACTGCTCATCAGTCCGCTCCGTCCTCCTTTATGGCCAGCTGTGAGACCTGGCCACTGAGAGTGGAAGACATGAAAAGACTAGCTGTCTTTGATCATAGGTGCCTGCGTTCTATTTCCCGTGTAAAGTGGCATAATAAGGTGAGCAACATTGAGGTTAGGCGTAGAGTTCTAGGTAAACAGGGGAAATCAATCGACGAAGTCGTGAAGCTACAAAGACTGAGATGGTTAGGACATGTCTTACGTATGCCAAGTCATCGCCTCCCTCGACGAGCTATGTTAGCGGATATAGGGTCAGACTGGAAAAAAGCTAGCGGCGGTCAAACAAAAACTTGGCATCAGTCAATGAAATCCACAACAGTTGGTCTAAGCCACGTAGGACGGTGTAGACTTCCAGGCTGGGGTCCTCGAGACGGTAAAAACCTATGGTTGGAAACAATTGGTGACATGGCTCAAAATCGTTCTCAGTGGCGCAGATGCATCCACTCCCTGTGACTTGTGATCTTCAATGAAACTGTTTTGTATTTCTTTATTACTCCTTTGTCTCACACCTCTGCTCACTGTTTCTATTATGCTTTTCTTGTACTTTCTTCTCTTGCTTCGCGTGCTACACGGAATGTGGCGACTTGAACTGGTGCACATTTGTGCAAAGTTCTATGTCGAAAACAGACAGACAGAGCCAAGATGTGTCTTCCTTTGATGAAAGCGAACCAACAATATTAAGTACCAATCACTATCAGAAGAGGAAATCCAAACAGTCACTTCTTTCAATGATCTAGACTCACACTGTTGTGAACTTTTCTTATAATACGTATCTAGTCATATTCATATCTCTACCGCTATTAACACTTTTTTTTCCTTTATATGTTTAAGCCATTCCGGCTTCATTGTAAAATGAATAAAGCCTAAATTCTTGATTCATTCGTCTTTTCAAGATTCAAACATCACTCATCGTTCTAAGACTCAATCACCTTCGTAACACACACATAATGATGTCACAGCCATTCAGTCACACCGGAATGGAAAAGCAAAACAGGAGAACAAGCTTCATTACTCCATAATCTGTATGGAAATATATCAATCTACTCCGCAACAGAAAGAACAAGATTTGAATTTTCAACAACACTAGTGTTAAATCAATCAGTGATCCCACTTATATGTTTCAGAGACTGACTTTAAGCGTACATGTCATTGAAACGAATTTCGAGCAAGTTGCCAACTTTTAGAAACAATCGCCTTCGATGCCTCCAATACTAAGTAAGATCAGTCAGATGATCATGGTTAGAGAGGATTAGCAACAATGAACTCTAGTGGTGCTAAAAGCCAAATAAAAACCTACTACTCAATATAAATTCAGAAAGAAAATGGAAAAGGATGAACTGGATATACAGTGTACACATATTCAAGTAGCATAATATATCAGGCAAGTGGTTGAATGAAACTCGAATGTGAAGCGACGAGTTGAGTGTGCCAGTCCCAGAGTGACATGGTGACCATCACATCGCAAAATTACCCAAGGATGAAAGAAAACTACATCCACCAATCTTCACATGTTATGACATAACAACACCATGAAAAACAGTTAAATTACACACCCATCACTCATGGAAATATAGCCAACCTGCATACACGACCTGTCATAGACATGGAAGGGTAGACACTTGAGTTCTTCTCTCCCTCTCTCACACGTGACCACACATCTATACATACCCTTGTCTGTGCCATCAAGGTAAGTTGACCTGTTCATTATTGCCGCCTCTTCACGTGGCGTGTGTCCCATACAAAAATGAGTGAAAGGATGAATGTGAACACGTCTGGCGTTTATACAGCTGGACTGACTGGTGTACCTACAACAAGGGGGATTGGCTGGAAAACCCTGACTGAATCCAGCCCTGTGGGGAGCGTATATGGACTCCGAAATCCGAACCAATCTGATGGAATAGGAAGCACGCGTACGCACAGTCCAACTGTCTTGTCGATCAAAATTGAAAGGTCAAACACTCGAGGGTGGAGGTGGATGGCCCGGTAAGATAACTACCACCGGTTTTGGTCTTGGCGTCCGGATACTTAGGACCTCAGATTTTGCACAAACTATGATGTTTATAATGTATTGAGTTTATTTTAATAATAATAATAAATAATAATAATAATAATATACAGAATGAACCTACCTTATCAGACTTTAAACATTTATTATCAGGAGACACCATTGCAAATCCAATCTCATCATCGTCAACATCATCTTGATAGACATTATCATTGACAAGGACATCATTATTAATAGCTCGTGAAGGCAGCCGACCATGTAACTTCGTTTCTGAATGATGCCGTGACGACTTCATTGATTTTGTCAACTTTGGCGCTGCAACCACATCGTGACTTATGTTATCACCAGATTGTTTTACAGCTTCTTTATATCCTGTTGTTGTTGCTAATACCTGGTTTCTTAGAGGATTTAGAATGTCTTTTGATGCCGGGGATAATGACGATAATTTCTGCTTAGCTCGATTATTGCTAGCGACTGACAGTGCTTCCTGATCCATCATTTTTGATTTCAATGAAGTAGAGTAGGATAAACTCTGTCGACTAGGTGTTGATGTCGAGGATAACGAAGAGGATGATGAAAGCTGAGATGTCGAAGATGAAGGCGTCGAGACACTACTACTGCTACTAGACGACGAGGTGGAGGACGATGCATCCGACGATGACGACAAGGATAAAGAATCTGATTCAGCATCGGATAAACACGAAGGTTGTACTGGAGATAAAGGACGTGCAGGTAGTTGTTTCCCACCACAACTGCCAATATCAGAATCGGACGGATGTTGTCTTCCTGAAGAAAGTATAGGATTTGTCAAAGGACTATGTTTATTTCGAACAGAACACTCATATACATTTCTATTGGTCGACAACACTAATCGAGTAGAAGAAACAGAATCATTAGAAGTCTGTGTTGGCGGGGGTCCCGATGGCGTTGACGATTCCACTTTCGCTGTTGATGCCGACAACTTTGATAGCCTAGCCGCAGCCGCTGCTGCCGCCGCAGTAGCTGACTTCGGTGGTCGTCCACGTGATCTTTTGACAGTAGTAACATTAGAGTAGGTTGAAGAGGTATTCGATGAAAAGACTGAAGATTCCGGAGGAGTGTGACTACGACTTCCACCACCACTAGCCGAAGAACTTGCGACAGCTGGTATTGTTGTACGATCAGATGAAGAGGGACCAGAGGCAGCTGAGGATGCAGACGACATGCTATGATGTAAGGGTTCTGATCGAACCACATGGCCATCAACACAAGTTAGTCGAGGCAGAAGAGATGTCTTTGTTTCCTTTAGAGAGAAAGAGATATCATCACCATCCTCCACATCGGCAACCACAGTAGCAGTACTACCATTTTGATTTCTTATCGGCAATGGTTTGATTCGAATTGTTTTCTTCGAAGTCTTTTTACTCGAAAAAGATAGTGGTGTGGGTGACAGTGACAGTTCATCTGATGAACTGGAGTCATTGTCATCACAGCTAGGGGGAGGAGGAGTGGTAGCACCATTACCATTGGGAAAATTACCTCGCGATAGGAAAATATCATCAGCATCGTTTCTTTTTCGTTTATACGACTTCCTTTTAGCAGTAATAGGGGTCGTCGTAGTAGTAGTAGTAGTAGTAGTAGGAGTAGGAGTAGACGTCGGAGTGAGATAATGATGAGGGGTTGACAATTTCGCAGGGGATTTATTTACATTACTAGAAACGTCACTATTAGTAGCAGGATGTCCTGATAAACGAGATTTCCGTTTACGATGTTGATAATGATCACGGTCGTCGCTATCGCTATCTAGTGATGACAGGGAGGTCAAGTTATCTGGAGATTTTCAAAATAGCAAAAATGAAAACAAAATAATTAGAAATAATATTCATTGTTTAAAAAATGTAGATATGTCCCAAACAAACACTGTTCAAACGCCTCGACCGCTTCTCGTCACCCCATCTCAAACAACTTCGCAGGCAAAAAGAAATGTTATATAAATGCAAAGACAAGTTAGGACTTAAAAAGATAAACGCTCAAATCAAATCTGAAATCAAGAATCTTAATGCTATCTATAACCAAACACTTTTATCATGCAAATCTCCAAACAGCATGTGGAAACTTTTCAATGAAATTACTGGCAATAGTAAGCGATGTAATGTTTTTCCCTCTTGTGATGTTAATGCTCTTAATCTGTCTTTTATACGCTCTCCTTCTACCATAACCACTCCTAATGTTACCAATCTTGTAGCTGATAACTTCCAGGACTTCAATACTCTCGATGTTTTGAAATGTCTTAAAACTCTTAAGCCCTCACATAGTCTTGGCCCTGATGGCATACCTGCATATGTCCTAAAACAATGTGCAGATGCTTTATGTTCTCCTCTAACTAATATACTAAATGCTTCTTTCTCCGAAAACGTTGTACCTGTTCCATGGAAAGACATTAAAATAGTCCCTGTCCCTAAACCTGGAAATAGCAAGAACGTAAAGTTCAGACCCATCGCCATCACTTCCCCGTTTCTAAAGCTCATGGAAAAACTAATACTTCTTAAACTCGAACCCTCCCTTAAAAGCTTCGAAGACCCCAAACAATTTGCCTACAGACAGGGTAGGAGTACTTTAGACGCTGCAGCCGTCTTACACAACAGTATTGTCTCATCATTAGACAAAGATGCCAAATATGTCCGCTGCACGTTTCTTGACTTCACTTCTGCTTTCGACTCTGTACCTAGAAGTCTCTTGCTAAATAAGCTCTCCACGACACAAACCGAGTCTTGGGTCACTAAGTGGTTGCATTCCTACTTTTCAAACAGAATGCAGTACACCGTATACAAAGGTCAATCCTCCTCTGCTGTGCTCACTGAATCTGGTGTCCCCCAAGGTGCTGTACTCTCCCCACTTCTCTTTTCATTCTTCCTACATGACCTACCGTCTTCAAATGATATTAACTTTGTCAAATATGCTGATGACCTGACTGTATCTTTACCTGTCAAATGTCAAAATGACTGCTCTAAACTAAATGGCTTCTTATCAGAAATTAGCCAATGGTCCAAGGAAAACGGTCTAACCTTAAACCCCTCCAAATGCCAAACAGTTAATTTCACCTTTAGGCATAAATCTGACCTAAACAAACTGGTTAGCGCTCACGAGGTGTGCAACATAGATGGCACTGAAATAGAAACTAAGTCGGAAATTAAATACCTAGGCGTCACTCTATCTTCTGATCTTTCCTGGTCGTCTCATATCTTGACGATTTCCAAGAAAATATACCGTCTTACCTTCTACATCAAGAAGTTAAGACATTCTGGTGTAACCCAACCCTTACTACTACAATTTGTTAACTCCCGTATTCTGCCTATAATTCTCTATTGCTCCCCCTTAGTCTTTCCTGGGCTATTGAAGAAAGACTATACCTTATTACGTAGGATGTTAAAGGTTGTCAGCAGGGTAAGCAGCTTGCCACTTAGCCAGCTTGTTAACATTCTGGTGGACAGGCACATGGACTCATGTGAAAAATGGGCGAAGTCCATTTTATCTGACTCACAACACCCTCTACACTCACAACTCTCCCCATGTATCTCTTCAGGGAAAACAAGAAGTCTATATAGGAAACTATATGCCCGCACTAGTAAGTACAAAAACTCATCCATACCCTACCTAGCCCGTGTTCTGTGTGATAAAGAATGCATCAGGCATGAAACCTTTAACTTATTAAATAGTCACTAGAACCAATGAATCTCGTCTTTCCAACTCACATCATTTATAGGTACAACGTTTTCTCTCTCTTCATTCTGTATTTATTTTTGTTATGTGCTGTTTTGTTTCTCTCTTCCTTGCAAACTCTACTTAAAACATTCTTGTTCGTTCTTTTACACTCTGTATATCTCGACCATTTTGCTATCGCTTACGCCAGTAAATATGCTAGTAGTATCTACTTTTGTAACACCTTCAAACATTTTAATTTTGGCTTTGCTACCGACATACTAATATGTTGTTGAGATAATCTTTAAACTATGTAGAACTTTATTTATTGTTAATGTAAACAAAAAACTGGATGCAATATTGTAGTAAAATGCTGAGAATTCCATTCTGTATCACAAGTACTGATTTGGAATAAAGCTTATATAATAATAATTGTATCTGCAAGATAACATAACTAGATGAATAAATATGAAATTCAGTGATCAACTCTTCAAATTAGACCACAAAGTGACACATCAATTAAAGAATGTCATAGAAAATAACCAGCATGGAACTGTTTAGCACTCTTTTCAGTAGTACGCACAAATGACCTCACTAGTTCAATCAAGTGATCTAATTATGATATTAACACTTGGGGGGGGGGGGGCAGTTTGAAACGATGGATTGATGAGTGACTGAGTGAGTACTGGGTTCGAGTCTCAGTTGTTGTGAGAACACCTGACTGCCACTGATCGAGAACGAAGGTATATTCCCAGCTGATAAATCTCACAAACAGGATAAAATGAACTAGTCACCATTCATCCCATTTGGAAAATCCAATTATAAACAGAAGAAATAAACTAGAGTCACAATTACAAAAACAGGAAGCAGAGATTAACGAAAGTAATCAGAAAAAAGCAAAGATACACTAAATTGGTAAGATATACAGGGGAAGATGATGGGAGACAGAGAGGGAGACGTAGAAGTGGATAGATCTGTCTACTTTTCTGTCCAGCTATGTTGTTGTCGTTTTTAGTATTACTTTAATTGCTACAGTTATTGTCTCATCTCGTCTTATCATCATCATCAACAACAACAACAACAACAACACTAATATCCAATCATTTTATTATCCTCATCGATATCGAAAGTCATATTGTCAAACAATTGATTAAACATGTGTAGAGAATGAAAACAATGATCACAGAGACGCTAACAGAGAAAAGGAAAGTTATTCTCTCTTTCTCTCCCTCTTCAAACAGGTTGGTAAAAACAAAATATTTATACCTGAGGGCGGGATAGGGGGCTGGAAGGGAAGAAAAATGTATGTGATAATGGACGAATGTGAATGCATGAGCTAGGCAATTATGACGATTACGATTAGAGGTAGAAACACATACGTTGCTTCTTCACAGCCTCCTCCCAAACCCAAAAAGAATTTTTTTTTTGTCTACAAATGTAGCACTGAAAATGAGTAGGCAAGGAAGATTGTTACAATCATAAGAGATCAGTGAAAATTGAATTCAATCCTGTATTTTTTTGATTTACAGCTTGATTCCACAAGTATGGGATTTTCAGCATGGAGGCTGACCATAGATATCAGGTGTGCGTCGGCAGGGGATCGAACCTCGGACCATGGGCATGGTCGGCGAGAGTACTAACCACTGTGCCACCGACGCATATATATATATATATATATATTGCGTAAAAGCTAGTTACTTACTTACTTACTTTACTTTACTTCGGCTATCTCCTACGGGAGGATGAGCCGGCTTCATGAACGTCTCGAATCATCGCTGCCAAGGCGCGGCAATTTGTAAGAGTTCATGAAGTTTCATGGGAATCGGGTACGAGTGATGTCCCCAGCATCGCTCGGCCTTTTGTTTGAGAGTACAGCTCTAGCCTTTACACAGCCAAGTGTGACCTACAAGGCAGTAGGAGTGGAGTAAGGAGTCCACTATCCATTGGCAGCCGGTGACCGGAGTTCGGTTCATACGCCTTTTTGAACGGGGCCAGACATCCAGGACATCCAACAAGCCCTTTGTCCATACGTCTGCCGGTGAGCTCCAGTGAGCTTCATACGCCAGTCGTTGGAGGTTTGGAATCAGGGTTTAGCCATCTCCCCTAGACCGTCATCCAATAGACAGTCAACCCGGTGGAGAGCGCCGGGCATCCGCTTTCGCCCTCTCACTTTGGTGAGAAACACCTCCGCCACGTGAAGGCAGTGAGTAGGACTTCCTCAGGAGAGGCTATGTAAGACGCCCGGTCATATGGGAGCATTTCAAGAGGTGTGCGGTTACCCTTTGACTTTTTTCAAATTCGATCACGGATTGATATTATCACAGAGAATATCATCTAAAACCGCCAATAAGAACTACTGGACAACCTTTTTCGCCAGCCTGGGTTCTGGACCCCCTCCTTCAACCAGCCAGAAGTACACACCCATGACCCCTGATATCCAAGGCGATGGAACCACCCCAAACCTTCAGGTCACACGGCCAAGTTTATTGATTAACCAACACCGACCCATGAATTCTAACATCCGTCAACTTTTGTGATGTGTATAACCCCACCACCGCGTCAGCAGCAGCTAGTAGTATCATCTGCAGCGAGTGTTCGTCCGCATAACTCCTTAGAATTCCGAGGATCCTAACCAGCCAGTCAGGCCGTCTACATCTCCTTAAGTGGCTGGCTGACTGAAACCAACTGTCGGATATTGCATGGACTGATACCAGCCGCGTTTTGGTTTGACCATCACTAGCACCTTTCCAACTTAATCCTATGTAAACCAACATTATGCGTTGAGGAAGGCGATGGCTAGGCATGAGTGGTTTCACAACCCCATTGACTGACTTTTCCTTCATACCTAATAAACATTCAACGCCTAACTAACCCGAGCGATGCTGGGGACATCACTCGTACCAAATTCCCATGAAACTTCATGAACTCTCTTACAAATTGCCGCGCCTGGGCAGCGATGATTCGAGACGTTCATGAAGCCGGCTCATCCTCCCGTAGGAGATAGCCGAAGTAAAGTAAAGTAAAGTAACTAACTCAATACTACTCACCTTATTATACCACTTAACATGGGAGGTAGAATGCAATCATTAAAGGGCAACTAGTCAGCCATTTCATGTATTCCACTTGTAATGGCCGTCTCACTCACAGGTATAAACGAAGCCGTTGGATCGGGTCGCAGTGGCTCAACACGAGCTCACCGTAAAACAGGAAACTGTCCTGGGTTAGAACCCCGCTGGTGGGTGTGTATTACGCAAACGAAACAACTGGTGGATACTGCAGCATCGATTTTTCAGCGGTTCTCCCACTGTTAACTTGATAACTCAGACGCGTACAATACACATAAATTTAAAACAAAAACGATATTTTGACTACTACTCACCTTCTTCATTCATAATTTTCAACGTCTCTATCCATTGTATATCACGTCGTGAAGTCGTAGTAGTAGTAGTATTAGTAGAATTCACTGTTGTCACAGAACATGACACCGGGTGACTTTTTTCAGCTGATTTATACCCTTTTGGACGTCGTCCAGGTCGCCGCTTTCTTGGTGGTTCAGAAGAATTAGTAGTGGTAGTGCTATTTGTATGAGTACTAGTGGCATTTTTGAAGAATCCAACTTCTGACCCGGAATTCATCACAGAATTTTGATTATGATCATTATGACTGTTCTTGATTGAATTCATCAACATCATAGTTTCACTGAGTGACTTTCCATTTGACAATGGATGATCCGGATAGCCTTTCATCAACTGACGATCATATAGTGCTTGATTCGCTTTATACTCTTCAGCTTCGTTCAATGCCTTTTTCAGTGGAGGCGTTTCCCGTAAACCCAGCTCATCCGCTGTAAAACTCATATCAAATGCTCTTGACAATGGAACAAACACTCGTTCATGCCGCCCGCCAAAGCAAACCACCTCATAACCTTCAGCACTTTCATACAACATTTTACACGGTCGAAATGACCATCCGTTGTGTTGAAACCATAACAGTCGATGTGCAGTACGACATGGAGCAGTCAACTTATTCATCGCTGCTGATGAATGAAAACGGAGATAACAATCGACACAAAAGGAGGATTCACGAAGTTCACGTTCCAGTTGGGAACGTATTTGTCGTGCCATATTACTCATATCATTTTTATTCCCGTAGAATATCGCTGTATTATGAATCAATAAGTCAGCGTCAACCAAGAGGGCAGTTCGATTAGGATAAGCATCTTTTGAGGTTGTTGCAAAGGCTGGATCAGTTCGCATTCTCTCCATCATAAGACGTGTATTGATTTGTCGATAGACCAGATACTGGTTGCGTAATGGTTCATTCAGATAACCAACCACTTGCATTGTCTTCCAGTTCACTTTATTACGTATACGATCCAGGACAACTTGAAAGATTTTATGTAATTCTGATGCAGAAGTTGGTATCTTCGAGGAGGACGTCGATGACGCTGATGCGGCCCGTGATACTCTTTGACAAACAGGACATGGATGTGTTGGTGGATAGGAGTAGGAATCGTGATTGTTACTACCATTTTTTAAGGGATCGCCATCTTCACTAGGGATATGAAATGACAACTGATCGGCCATAGCGATCGGGAGACAATCAGGATGATAAACACGAAAACACGTTGGACAGGCGACAACATGACCAGGACCATGGCATTCAAAACAATACCTAAATTGAACAAAAAAATGAAAATAAAAAAATAATATGTATTACCAACAAACGACCTGATACATCCGGTTATTCCTCTAGAAGTGCTCCCACATTTAGCCAGGCATTCAAAGCTTCTGTGTCGTGAAATTAGTTGTCCTAATCATCACAGCCATCTTCATGTAGCATGGGGGGGTGGGGTGTTTTTTACAAAAGGGAGAATACGAATATCTGGCGCTTACACAGCTGCACTGGTGGAAGACAATCAGCTTCACCTAGAGGAGTTGGAAAGCCCTGATTCCACCACCTATGGTGTCTGTGTGTACGTCAGGGTATGAACCTCTTCCTGTACACTGTAACCCATGAGACGCAGCATCTCCTGACGCTGTTCCACTCCACTGCCTGTTTAGTCAGACTTCAAGTTAAGGACTTCGCACAGATATCTTTTTTCCGTAGTTCTATCTTCAATAGCAGCTGTACAATCGTACTTTTCTATACATAAATTTACATAGTTGCTTCAACTTTTCAAAAAGATCCTGGTTGAAAATAGCTACTTTACAAAACTTGTGCTGAAGAGCATAACAATAACAATAATAACAATTTCACTTTATTCCAGAAACAGTACTTGTGGTACAGTGTGGAATTTTCAGCACACATATCTACAATATTCCATCTAATTTCATTGTACATTAAAAAGGGGAATTACAAAAAATGTATATATATATATATAAAAACACGACAAAAATAAACCAAAAAAACGAAACTCACAAATAACAAAGAAAAAAAAACAAAAGAAAAGAATAAAAATGCAAATAAGAAAAATACCAAGTAGAAAGGAAGATAAACACTAATAGTGAATAAAAATATTTCAGTACCGGGTTATGGAAGCTATGATATGCGTATGCGTGGTGAACAGTAACAGCTATGATCATACAAGAAATTATGAGATGTTCTTAAGAATGTTTATAGACAAGATGATCACTTAATTTGATTGAACATTTCAGGTTGTTTTTTTTTATTGTCAGCACTAATGCAGCAGTGTTAGTCGTGGTAGTGGTAGTAATGATGCATAATACAAATTTTTTAAGATGGTGATAGTGGCGTTCACAAACATAAAACCAAAGCCAAAAAGAGAAGAATGTATTCCAGTTTCAAATCAAAAGCTGCATATATATATGAACCTGGATTTCAATGGAGACTTAGCTACCGGTAAATATCCTAAAGAGGAGAATATCCTGCAGCAACAATAACAGTGGTATTTCCTAGCTGCCCACTGTTTCTAAGCAATAAGAAAGAGACAAACTCTATCACATGACCACATTCCAATATGCATATATTAAATCACCTATTCCTATCCAGATGTTATTATTATTATTATTCTATCCTTTAGTTCCTAGAGGAACATAGGGCTTCAGCTGCGCACCTCCATTGACTTCGGTTTTCTGACAACTTTTTCAACCTGCTCCAGGTCTGTCCACATACTTTCATCTCCTCCTCGCATGACCTCCTCCAAGTCACCCTTGCACTGACGACCAACTCGCCGCCTCCCTTTCGGGTTCCACTCGAGCATTGGCTTGTCTAGTGATGTCACTTGATGGTTTCCTCAGCGTATGGCCAATCCATCTCCATTTCTTTCTGCCTATTTGTTTCACAATCGGTTCCTGATTGGTTCGCTCATTGCCAGATATCCCTGTTGCTGATCTTTTCTGGCCGGCCATCTGATCTTGAGTATTGAGCGGAGACAGTTGTTAATGAAGGTTTGAAGTTTGTTTGAGATGCTCTTTATGACTCGCCAAGTCTCTAATCCATAAAGTAGCACTGACTTCACATTGGAGTTGAAAATCCGGATGTTATTTTTGATGTTGATTGCTGTTGACCTCCACACAGATTTGAGAGTAATGAAAGCTTGTCTTGCTTTTCCGATTCTGGCTTTGATGTCCTCGTCAGTTCCGCCTGTAGTTGAGACGATGCTTCCCAGGTAGGTGAAGGAGGTTGTTTCTTTCAGGTTCCTCCCATTTATGCTTATTGTGGTCTGTTGGTGTTGTTGATGTTGGCTAGGAATCTTCATCATCAGATGTTAGAGAACACTATCCAGAATGGTCACAAAGGGGCGGTACTGACTAGATCAGTTGAAACACTACAATTGGACAAATCGTCAGCATATCTGTTACGTCTCAACTGATAACTCACTCCCTGTGACTAATAATCTTCAATGAAATTGTTTTGTATTTCTTTATTACTCCTTTGTCTCACACCTCTGCTCACTGTTTCTATTATGCTTTTCTTGTACTTTCTTCTCTTGCTTCGCGTGCTACACGGAATGTGGCGACTTGAACTTCCGCACATTTGTGCAAAGTTCTATGTCGAAAACAGACAGACAGACAGACTCACTAGCCATTCAGAGTCATTTACAAAGTGCACGAAAATCAACCAAAGCTGGTGTGTTTCTAACTTCTTTTTACTGCAGAAGCTCTCACCATATACATCAAGAAGTCGAAGTTGTGCGTTCAATCCAACATTCTAAACATATACTATGAATCAAGATCTGTTTGACAACTTAGTTTCTGTTTGTTTGTTTTATCTTCAGTTATAAAAACAACGATTATATCAATTTGTATCTCTTTTTGCACGTTTCGTTCACATACTTTTCTGCATTGAAAAGAAACCAACTTATATATTGCGCAACTTTTTAGTCCAGTGTAATTTTGTTTCTATGTCCCTTTGTGAGGATTGATATCCACGCCTTCAAACGCTTTCATACCAAGTTGAAAATTATTATCCCCTTTACTAACCCTTCTTCATTACTACGCTGAACTAAATAATAATTGTAACTATGTAAGCTTATGTATAAAAATGCGATTGTACAACTGCTTTTGGGGATGAAATCCCCCAGGAATCTAAAGGAAAAATAATAATATTATTATTATTATTATAACAACTATTCCACTAATCATTTTAAAAAAGACTCCATAACTCAGTATACGAATCAAGTCCTCCTAACCGTTTTTTGAAAGCCAACACAATCAATTGTAAAGAACATGTATTTGGCAATACTTCAAATACAACTTGTAGTGAGTGAATTTTCGAAATTTAATATATGACAATCAAAAGTAGAGAAAGGATAGCCTATTTAGTAAGTGTAGTAACGTGGAACCATTAGACAATAACTCTAGGTGCAATGTTGATAATATTTGCTGTTCATCTACTAAAAGGATAGACTTTCATATGGTAGACCATAGATTTAAGCGTAGGTGAGAAGGAATACTAATATGGGAAAATATGAGCATTTAATGGATCTGGAAGACTACAAAAAGTGAATGTGTCTGCGCTATTAACAGTCACCAAAAGTTTTTAGTCAGTGATTCTTAGCGTCTTGACTGTCTGTCTGTCTGTTTTCGACATAGAACTTTGCACAAATGTGCGGAAGTTCAAGTCGCCACATTCCGTGTAGCACGCGAAGCAAGAGAAGAAAGTACAAGAAAAGCATAATAGAAACAGTGAGCAGAGGTGTGAGACAAAGGAGTAATAAAGAAATACAAAACAGTTTCATTGAAGATCATAAGTCACAGGGAGTGGATGCATCTGCGCCACTGAGAACGATTTTGAGCCATGTCACCAATTGTTTCCAACCATAGATTTTTACCGTCCCGAGGACCCCAGCCTGGAAGTCTACACCTTCCTACGTGGCTTAGACCAACTGTTGTGGATTTCATTGACTGATGCCAAGTTTTTGTTTGACCGCCGCTAGCTTTTTTCCAGCCTGACCCTATATCCGCTAACATTGCTCGTCGAGGGAGGCGATGGCTTGGCATACGTAACACATGTCCTAACCATCTCAGTCTTTGTAGCTTCACGACTTCGTCGATTGATTTCCCCTGTTTACCTAGAACTCTACGCCTAACCTCCATGTTGCTCACCTTATTATGCCACTTTACACGGGAAATAGAACGCAGGCACCTATGATCAAAGACAGCTAGTCTTTTCATGTCTTCCACTCTCAGTGGCCAGGTCTCACAACCATAAAGGAGGACGGAGCGGACTGATGAGCAGTACACCCGCCCTTTGGTCGATAGTCGAACATCTCGTCTACGCCAGAGTCGGCGTAAACTAACAAATGCGAAACGAGCCCCTTGTATTCGTGCTGAGATTTCGTCAGAGATCAGCCCGTTGGGGCTGATGGTACTTCCCAAATAAGTGAAGCGGTCAACGTGCTCTACCACTTCACTTCCTATTTTTAAACTAGGCGTCGATGTAGTCCAGTCCTGTAACATCATCTTGCATTTGGCGGGAGCGAATCGCATGCCAAACATTCGTAGATTGCGGCTCAAGGTGTTTAGAAGACTCTGCATTTCGTCAGCGTCTTCGCCTAGAAGGACTATATCGTCTGCATATTCCAAGTCAACGAGATTATTCCCGGTAGCAAGTCAATCCCTGAGTCGCTGAAGTCACCTAGGGTTAAGTCCATTAACACATCTATGATGAAGTTGAATAGAAAAGGAGATAATGGGCATCCTTGACGGACACCACTGGTCGTCATCAGTTCAGATGACAGCTCGCCGTAAGCCCTCACCTGGCTGTATGAGTACGAGTAGAGTGCCTTAATCAGTGCAATATATTTTCTTGGAATTCCCTTTACAGCCAAGCATCTCCAGAGAACTTCCCGATCGACAGAGTCGAATGCTGCCTTTAGGTCAAGAAATATAATGACTGTTGGACGCCGGTAGGAATGCCTATGTTCTAGAATCTGTCGGAGGGTGAAGATATGATCAATACACCCTCTTCCTGGTCTAAAGCCTGCCTGGCTCTCTCGTGTTTGTGCTTCCCGAGCACCACTCAGTCTACGCATGATTATTGAGCCTAAGACTTTAGATACTATATTAGTCAAGCTAATCCCTCTGTGATTATCACAGGAAGACTTGTCTCCCTTCTTGTATATGGGGATAATCAGTGACTTACACCAACCCGATGGGACTTCTTCTGATTCCCAGACGCTGCCTAGTACCTCAGTTAATCCGGACAGT